ATTACAGTAGTAAAGATCACTATCCCTTAAATACCATGGGTTGGAACAAATTATAGTCTGGGTAATCTATTAAAAATTGACAAAAGAGTTACCCAAAGTGGAATTTTGTAAGCATATTAATTTTTATCACAAGAGAATTTCTTTTGAAAATTAGGGGTTGTAATGTGGATATTCTGATTTTTAATAATTGCTATAAAATAAACTCATAATATGTAATTTTAATACTACATACTTCTACAAATACTATATAGAACTTGAAGTTTTGAAATTATTTTTCTCAAGTAAAAAAATGTAAACTATATATCTGAGTAGAATTAATGTTTTCATGAAAATAATAAATCTTAATTTTATATATAAAATCTTGGCCACAGTAAAGATCACACACTGAAAAATTATGATGAAAGTTTGTTTTTATGATAAAGGTTTCACTAAGTTGCCAGGATGGCCTCAAAAGCCTGATCCTCCTGCCTCAAACTGCTAAATAGCTGGGGTTACAGGTATTCAACACTATGACCGACAAAAGATTATTTTATAAAAAGAAATAATTTATTAGCTCAATTCAGTATGATTATTTGAAAGTATAACAAACTGATTTAATGCTTGAAAACATGAGATGAGAATGAAAAGCATATTATATATAACATTTAGTAAAGTTAATACACAGAAAAGGTAAAAACTAAAGTACTAAAAGAAAGGAAAAAACAACAACCCATGCTATAACCATACACATTGAAAATAAAACTAAGAATCAAATGTCTCAGATAATGCTCACATCCAGTTCATCTTTGACCTTAGTGAAATGGTCAGTAAATGACATCACTCTGCCAACCACCAAGAATATTAGTCTCTCTGAAAAATATTTTTCAAAGACCCAAGGAAACCTAAGCAGTCTCTGCAATTTTTTTTCCAGTTTATGAAAATTGGATTCCTATAAAAGGAAAATGGACCATTTTTACTGCAACAAAAACTGATTTGTAAAAGCTGGAAGCAGTTTAAAAATACTCAACATGAGGTTCTTGTTAGTCTTGAAAAGTAAGAGTTATAATAAAAAAATGGTCCAAAAATACGGTACAGATTCATGGTACATAACAGGAAAAAAGCTAGTCTTGCTATTATTTTTAATTAGCTTCAATAGCAAGTTCCACTTTACTTTCTAACACCAGTTCAAGTTTGGGGGGGGGGATTTACATTTAACTCTCTGGAATTGGCAACTCCATAGCTAATGCCTTGGAGCCCTAATGCATTTTGCATTAGCTCTAAATGTCGGGAAATCTTGGCGCCAAGGGATTCAAACCAATAGCGATGCATGTCTAAGACCCAGGATTCGCTGTCCAACTGCCAGTATCTATTTTATCAAACATTCAGTCTCTCTTGTAAAATGAGATTGATGAGTTTAGCAGTTGTCACTGTTTCCAATTAAACTGCCTTGATATATTACAAAAATGCAGGCATTTAGACTGCGAAGGACCCTTGACTAGGATTTTAAGAAAAACATCAATTTGAACTGTTTAAACACTTCTCTTAATCTTAGTTTCTCAGATTTGAATACATTTGTCATTTTAGGAAAAAAAAAATTTAAATAAAAAAACCTCACATCACTCAAATCAGCAATTTATTCTTTACCTTGCAGAAACTTGGGGTCACCCATTTTATATCATTCACTCAGACTGAAATGTTCAAAAAACAACGAAGAGCTGTGAGAGCTGGGTGAAGAACATACCTCTTGGCCCTGTCAAACAGCCTGCTCCGTATTTCATCCCACATAGCACTGTCACTCAAGTCACTGAAATTCACCGTTTATAATTAACCACTTATATCTTTTCCCCACATAAAGCCATGCTTATTTACCAAAGACATATAATAAAGAAGCAAGAAAAGAAGTCATAAGTCATATGAACCTCTTCTCCAATTTAAGGAAAAAACAAAGCCCAAAAGAAAAGAATAAAAAAGAAAACCTCTCAACATATAATAGTTTTTCTTCTTAAATGTATTTAAAGAATCAGTTTTTTTACTATTTAAATTCAATTAAGGATTTTTTTTCCAGGTATTCTAAATTTTTTATGGGTGTCCATAAAAATTTTATTTTCATCTTCACAGTGGAGATAAATAAGGAATCACAACTTTTGTTTAATTAACACTTCTTGAAAAAATTGAATATTAAAACATTTAAGTAATTTAAAATCTATTAAAATGAAAAATCTCAACAATAGTGGTTAGAGTCAATGTTGTTAACTAATTTTAAATTTATCTCCTCAATATCAGAAGCTGAGAGGTTCTAGTTTAAAATTTTTTCATATGGGACATCAGCAAAATTATACAAAATATGTGAATAATTATGAAGCAATTTAAAATATTTAAATCTTTGTAGAATTAAAAAATTTGCTAGATCCATGGCTTGTTAATATCAAGGGAATCTTACCTAGTCAAAATTCACTGAAAAAAGAAAAACAATTCACTGCAATGTAGATCAATAAAACAAAACATAGAGTATGTATCTTTTGCTACACTGTATCCTCCATATCCCTGTTCCATAAAATTGATCTATTAGTTTCTATTATCTATAACCACTTGAGCGAACTGTAAATTATTCTAGAAATAAAAAAAGAAACAGTAAGTTACTTGAGTTAAAGCCTCAAAAGTTAAAAAGAGATGAAGGATTAAACTTCCTCACAGGAAGATCTTTTTAAAGGATAATTTTCAAAATAAAATGATTATACTAAATATATTACTCAGATTTTGAAAAATAATCTGTTTTATTAAATAATCTTTTAAGTCAATATTCTTGGTATGTCTTTTATGAAGCAAAATAAGTTATTTAAATATTTTTTACCCTTAAAAAGGAACTGAAGGTTCAAAAAAGATGTTCTCAAAGTAATTTAAAGTAATTATTAACAGAGCCGAGAAAATCCTGATGTTTTGGATGTAATTCAGAACTTAGTCACTATTAGTCACTAAATGTATTTCTGAAAACATTTTCATTGTTTTATAAAATGACTACTTTCAAAAGCCAAAATGAAAGACTTTCCTCAGTTGGGATCCTAAGATTACTTTGCATATTTAATTTTACTGGAAATGTTTAGTAGTTTCTTTAAAGTTACATAATTGTATAAAAACTAAAACCAAGTCTTTATATAAGTAATGTCTAAATTAGTAGCAGTAACATAAATTAGACTGGCAGTGTCTTCAACAAATAAAAAAATAATGCTTTATTCATAGGGAAACAAAATGAAAGAATTAATAATTATAATGAATGAATAAGCAAGTCTTTGATATAAATATTAGGATCAAATTTTCCAATTATTTTTTCCTTTTTAATTACATTTCTGAAAACATTTGTACAGTGGAATTGCCACATGATATAGCAGTTACAATGATTAAACAGAGTCTCTATTTAAATAATTATACCTAATATAGCCAGAAGCATCAAAAGTAATCAAAAGCCACATGCTTTCTAGAAGTTAACTATGGCTTTTATTCCTGAGGCAAGGAATTTCTTACGATGACAATCCAGTATACCAAATAAATTATTTGTAATTATTATTTATTGAAAGTCTATTATAGAACACTGAATTGTACAATTCATGTAATACTCCTCTGTTTTTTCACTATGTTTCTAAGCTTTTGTGTCATAACTGTCAATTAGTTGTGAAATCAACTTAGTGGATTGGAACTATATTTAATAAAAGAAATAGAGTAAAAGAAATTATCATGCTTTATAGGTAGTAAGAGTATCATTTTAAGGTATTTTGTTTTATATATATAGGTGAACAAACATATGTGAATAAAAATTTGTGTGTTTACTAGGTTGCCATATTCCTTCAGTATTTCCTTTTTTTCTTTTGTAGTGCTGAGGATCAAACCCAGGGCCTTGTGTATGCTAAGCAAATGCTGTAGCGCAAAGCTACATCCTCAGCCTTGAAAGCAATTTCTTTTAATGTGAATTATGGTCATAAATGCTTACAAATCTCTATAGAATGTATTGTTTCTCCAAAATTAGTAGCATGTTATACCATAAAGGCCATGAGTGATACAGCCTAGTTCAAATTTTTATTTTGAGTGAGTTGGTTACTTAAATTTAAATTTTTGTGGCTTGACTATCTATAAAAGACATATTTCTATAAGATTTTTGGTACAGGTTAAAATAAATGTTTGTACAACTGATTACAATAGATAATAATGGTTATAGCAATTACAATTGAGATTGAATTAAAATAGCTTACTGTAAGTGGTTATTAAGTTATAATGTGTTGGTTCCAACTATATCCATTTAAAAATATATGATTTCACAAAGAGAAACTAGCTTATTGTAATTAAAAGTAGGATTTTACAAACAGATATTAAACAATAATTTAAATAAATAGGTTTAAGGAAAAATATTATTCCTTTTCACAGAAATTAATGTGAAATTTCAATAGTCAGCCTAAATTAAAATACCATGTTTATGAATTAAATAATGAAGAAAATATTGTTTATGATTTCTGGCAAGATTTTAAAAATCTATATGCAACCATTAGCAATAAAGCTATGTATCTACTGTAGGGAGCTTTATGATAACTGTAGAACAATGCCAGCCTGTCAGATTATCTTTTCCCTTAAATATTTTATTTGAAAACCATCCACCTGTGATAGAAAATGTTCAGCTAAATCTAAGGATCAACTTTATGAAACACAGCCAGTTTAAATAGTTACTAAAATAATGTCTTGTATTCTTATATTAGCTTGGAAAGCACTCAGAACACAATCAGTATTCACTAACTTGGCAAAAGCATTGTTTCAATAAGACAGTTAATATTTTTCAAAGTGATAAATATTTTTAAGCTTTGTGATTGCCATTTATTTTAGATGTAAGAATGTGACTTCACAAATTAATTTAAAATCATGCATGTTATTGAAAAGATTTTTTCTTAATAAAAAAAGGAGGAGTGAAGAAAATTCTAGTTTTTCAAAAACAAAAGTAACACCATACATCTACATCATATTTTTCTTGGAAGACTGTTTACCTGCCAGAAAATGAATGCTGTCCAACTACATCTCCATTCTGAAGGTGATAGTCATTGAAGAAATCTGGACTTATTGCTCCTTCACTGGCAATTAATCCATCTAGTAAGAAGGAAAATGGTAAACATTTAAACATACTTGTGGAGAATACAAAGTAAACTACTCCATCAAGTTACATACCAAGGTTATTCCCATATGAATAAGAAGAAAAACATTACCAGTAAGAAAATATTCTATGCATTTAATCTGGAAAGAAAAATGCTATGACATGCTATTTTCTGTGGGAGTTTTCCTACAGGATGATATGTACTAATGTGTTTCATCCAGAACATTCAACACAGCATTTATTAAGCATCTACTATATGCCAGATACTATTACAACAGAGAGGGCACAGACAGTGTCTTCAAGAAGCTTACAGTATTGTGGAGAAAGAAGTAAAAGGTAAAGAGATGAGGTGAGGTGAGGTAGTGAGACAGTAAACATGGGCCAGGCTAAGAGAAAAAAGAGGAGAATGGATGCAAAGGGGCATGAATAGCGCAGTGTACATAAAGAGCAATACTTTAGGCCAGTGGTGGCAAACAGAAGTATCACTATGGCCGCTTTAAAGTTTATTATGCATTTATAACCAGGCAGCTTCACTTGTTTATCATGATTAGGAAATTAGATATATCAAATAAATAAATTTCTAAATAAAGTGATTGACAATTTAAATCCCAAATGTTAACACATTCTCACAGAATCTAATGTTAAAAGGTAGATAGCCTATTTTTAAGATTATGAATAAATTAAAAACAGAACAAGGCAAAAAGATCTATATCTTTTACATATGGTCTACGAGATGTCCCATGCATATTTTAGTATATGGCTTTTATAATAACTATTTGGATGGCTTTAAGGATTTATTATAAGACATACATGTGTTTTGAAAATTTTTAGTGTCTTAAGATAACAATAAAATAATTTACACCAAGAGTGGATATATGTACTACATGATGTTGAATGCAATAAATCTCTGGAGGGATTTCTGTATTCTATAAGGGTTAGAAAAGATTTTTTGGGAAAGGAAGGAAGAGCTGAAATTGATTTTGATTTTGAAAGACATGTAGAACTTAAACAACAAAATATGTGAATGGTAAAACCAAATGGTAAAGCTAAGTAACAGTAATAAGTATTAATTAGTATTAAGTAATTAGTATTTTGATAAGATCCACCTTCCAGATTTTATTTCCTATTGTGAAAAGGAAAGAAACTGCCCAAAAGGCAAGAACAAGTGGCACAGGGGAAAGGAGAAAAGAAAGAAGGGAGAAAAAAAAAATATATATATATATACAAATACATACATATTTTGACACACCATTTATTAATTACTTGAATTACTATTTTATTTTTGTATTGTTAGTGGATTCCTTTGATATTTGTCTTATTGGTTTATTAAGTTTACAATACTTGAGTTTCCACTAAAATATACAAATATATATATATATATATACACACAAAAGATAACTAAGATAATTTTACTACTAATTTCTATTGGTTTATTGAAATTAACAGTTAATGCTCAATTGTTTGATCGGTTTTGCATGCCTGTATCTGTTAATTTCAACAACTACTTTGATGATAGCATGCAATATAACAGCCATTGTTGATTTTCTATCATCTTGTTTTGAAATTCTACATTATTTTTACTATTTTTAAATTCTTTTTATTCTCTTTAACAGTTTATTTGGTACACATACATATTTTGACACACCATTTATTAATTACTTGATTTACTATTTTATTTTTGTATTGTTAGTGGATTCCTTTGATATTTGTCTTATTGGTTTATTAAGTTTACAGTACTTGAGTTTCCACTAAAAATGTCAATGATTTCAGTCCAGTTTTAATATACACTAGAAGATAGATTCTATAAATGTAAAGACCAGCTAAGTACAGAATAGGTACAAAAAAAAGAAATCATTTAAACATAAAGAAGTCAAAACATTTTAAACATAAAACATAAAGAAGTCAAAAAAATTCTTTAAATCAATTCTATATGTATAGGTTTTGTGAAAACATGGCTGAAACAATAAATGAAATAATTGAGGATCAAGGCTTACAAAATCTGCCAATTCTGAAGAAAAAAGCTAAGTCAAACACTAAAATAAAATTTTACCATACTTTGAAAATGAAGGCAAAGATGTTCATTATGACATGAACAAAACATTTCAGCACACATGAATATAAAGTTCAGATATACTAAGTACAGCTAAATGAATAGATATTTATGTATCAGTTTGTATTTAAAATATGATCGAGTAAAGTGTAGCATATTAAAAGAAATTTTATTAAAAATTGATCAACTTCTCAAAATTTTGTTTTTGATTCAGGGAATCAGGGAACAATGGGCAGCAAAAGGATAAGCAGAATACAAACTGCATTCAAACTAAAAATTCTTGAATTGAAAAGCTTAGCCAGAAACTTTATATACACAGAATACAACTAATTTAATAACAGAATTTAAATATAATGTAAATAAGAAAGAGTTAATATATACTTAAGTTCATTTTTAGTAATCTTAGGACAGCACAGTTTATTTTAAGTAGACTGTGGTATCTATAATGCTCTTTATGGCTTGACAAAAGAAGGCAGCTCTGACATTCTGAGAACTCTTGTCTTAACTAGAAAGGTGCAAAAAAAAGATCCATGAAAGTCTCAGCCCAATTCTTTGCACTGTACAATCCATATTATTTATTTTATGGAACTACTAAAAAAGAACCATATTTTCTTGATTATAAAACTCAGATCAAGCTAAGAGTGTCTTCCTCAAGCTCCTTGATGTTTCAAAGAGCAATACGGAACCAAAGAATTTCATGGCTAGAGAACAAACAGAAAACAGAGAAGAAAAATATCACAGAACTCTAAGCTGTACAGTTTCACACACAATTAGGTTATTTAATTATATTGAATTGTTTAGTTATATAATATTACACATCACAGTTATGTAACATACCTTTCTGTGATAATGAAGATAGTTACAAACAAATGGAGCATATACTAGAAGTGATGATATCAAAGCAAATCTAGCAACCTTCAGAATTCTGGAAGCCAGTTTAAAAAGCTGTCTTGTAAGCATTGTAAAACAAAAACTGTGTATACATTATACTTTCTATATGGATAAAAAGCACCAAAACAAAGAACTTTATTTTCATGTTAACAAAGAAAATTAATCCATGGCTAGCTATAATCATAATGATTTTAGACTCTTAGAAAACAGTACTGTAAAAAGGTGCTAGTTCCATAACATCATTCTTCTTAAAAAAATAGCAAAGGAGTAACACACATATTTTGTTTGCTATTTAATCGTCTGAACCATGAGAGGCTAATATTAATAATTAGGAAAGTAGAAAATGCCATCCAGAGAATCATAAGTCATTTAGTTTAATCTTTGTGGCTGAAAAGTTACTAAGGCTCTATGTATTGGAAGTAGCCTGAAGCTTCAAAGAGTCCCCAAAACTTCAAGAAATTACACAAATATTCACACTAATATGTAGTAATTACAAATTCATCCTATAATTCTAGGATAAAATAGCACATAATAAAAAAAAGAGCTCATATCATCTAGATCTCTATGAGACACATTAAGAAATGATATGGAGATACATTTAGTCCATGGATTTCTTAGAAAATGACAAGGTAAAATAATATATATGCTAAAAAAATACAGACAGCTGCTATGAAAAAGCAATCTATAAACTCTATAGAATGAAATTCCTGCTGTTGAATATATATATCACCAGATTTTACATATTTAAAAAAGCTTGAAAATACTAATAATATTTTACCCACTCAAATACTTAAATTTATTTTTCAATCAGTTACTGCTATCTTCTAAATTTGGGTATATAAAAATATACATAACAATTTTCTCTAAAGAAGTATAACAATGCATTTTAAAGTAACTCACAAAAAAATACAATTTTCATGTAGGAGGTTAAATTAAACGAATTAAATTTAGAAATATACTGTAACTTTAATACAATTAAAATTTTGGAAGATTTTTAAATGACAAAGTTGTAACTATTAACTGTTGTAGTTAATAGTTTTACTTGGTTTTAGAAACTGGTTACTGATATATGCTGATGGGTACCTATCAATCTCGAACATAAGAAAGTTGATTCTGAGACTATTCTGATGGCTATCAACAAAAAATCCAAATCATAGATATTTTACATCATTTTACTTCATGAATAGTAAATATGTAAGGAACAGCTGCTTGCCATTACCAAAGCAAGAAATTCTGGTTGGATGAAATTAATGATTTGTTCCAGCTGTTTTGAAACACAAAGCAGAATTTCATAACTACTGTAAAGTTCAGTTAGGAAGAAATATATTCAATTTTCAAAGTAAAGCATGATTTTTCAGGATTTAAGCACCTATATCAAATATAATAGTATCTATATTTAAATTTGTAAAATTCAGAATTATGAAAACACATGAAAATGTGAAGTTTTGTTGATCAAAAGGGATAATAATTTTATGTGATGAGATATAATTAACCATTGATCACACACAAACTGTTCTGACAAAATGAGATAATACATGTGAAACACTTAAAAATACAGTAACACTATTTAATAAATATATGCTAGGAACACATGGTAGGAAAAAAAAGGGTGAGCCATTTTAGAAATAACTTAATTCTCTTTTTTTGTGGTGCTGGGGATTGAACTCAGGGCTTCACATATGCTAGGTAAGTACTCTATTAATGAGGTATAACACTAGCCTTAATGCCTTTTATTTTCAACCTTCCACAAATTTTCATTAAAAATCCTTTTTCTTCTCAAGCAAGAAACTTCAATAGAGTAATTAATAAGGGCAACAGAACAACACATGAAAAGCCAAAATATGTAAAATTTACCAATATGTGTGCCAAGTTCATTTGTTAAAAAGGGTGATATGGCATAATCTACAGCAATAATACATGTATACACTAAATTTTGCTTAGAAAATATTTGCAGAATTTGGAAGAAAAAAAAAACTACAGCTACCAAGTATCTAAATCTTTCCAACAGTCAACAAATAGTTGGTAGGAAAATTAAATTGTTAGGATTAAATACACAGGAAAACAAACCACAAATTCTGAAGCTATCCATTGAAATGACACATTGAGCAATCCATTTCCCTGGCTATACATTTTTTAATGGAGACCCCATTAAAGACTAACTTGGAAAATATACTGGTAAGTTAATACATGTTGTTTGTGTGTACAGGTATTACATTCGAAATTACTAGCAGAAGCCTATTTATATACTTTCAAATTTTTTTTTTTTTTTTTTGTCTTTTTGAGACAGGGGCTTGCTATGCAGTTCAGGCTGGTCTTGAACTCACAAAGATCCTCCTGCCTCAGTCTCCCAAGTGCTGGGATTACAGGCATGCACCCCCCCATACAGAATACTTAGAAGTGCTTAAGTTTGAGAATGTTCAAGGTTGGGAGACCAAAATTCCCATACAGCACAAAGGCAAATTTTTGCCTGGTTATTTCCTTACCTGGACTGTAGAAAAGGTCAGGTCTTTCTAGAATATCTCCTTCATGGATATATGGCTCAATTCGATCATCACCATACAAGTACTGCTCACTCTCATCCATTTGACGACTCTCTACCATCTCCAGCCACTGAGAGTTATGCCAGCAAAACTTTTCCCTTTGAATTTTCTTTGCCCATTCATCATCATATTCCTGTTAAAAGCAAACAGCGAACTGTTAATATACAGTATAAATTTACTTACTGATAGGTAGCAACAGTTTCATGAGGACAGAGGTTCATAGGAAACATTAACATGACTTGATATGTTTTTTCATTTAGATAACAGTGAAGGAGAAGCATTATTAAAGCACTTCTTAGCTCATTTACTACAGAAAACAAACAAAATCTGCTTTTGTTTCAACCACAAAACAGTGATCACTTAATTATAAAACTATTTCTTTAAGTGTCTGTTCTTGTTTTGACCATGAGCTCCTCAGAAGCAACCATGGCTTATTTATCAACCAGTGTATCTGTAACACTTGTCACAGAGAAAGGTGGTGAGTTTTCCTGAAGCATAAATGGGCCAATTTATTATAAACTACAGCAGCTCCTTATCTTTCTACTTGTCCCATGTGCTGTAGCAGCTTTATTTTTTCAAAAATTCGCTATGGACAGACACACAAAATTGTACCCACTTATGGGGTACTGGGTGATATTTTGATATGTGTATGTATTGTATAAATCTTAAAGTTATACACATCTCCTTAAACACCACTTCTTTACAGTCAAACTCATTTCTCTTAGCTTTTTGAAATATGCAGTATCTTACTGTCACCTGCAGTAATCCTATTGTGGATCTGTACACCAGAATTTATTCTTGCCTCTCAATGAACACAATGTTCCCTATCATTCACTCCCACCTCCCACCATTATCTATTCTTAATTTCTAGGAGATAACTTTTTTTGTATTCCACAATGAGATTATGCAGCAGTTGTCTGCACTTTTCTTTTTGGTCAAACTTCTCACAAAGGTATGATCACTTCTCCTTATAATTAAATTATAATTACTAAGGTAAAACATTTAATGCATAAACAAAAAGCAAAACGGTATTTTGTGGAAGAAACTGAAAATACTTATTTTTTTCCTAAAAGATGAGTGTCAGAGGTCACCCAAACTCCAAAAATGTAAAATATCAGTAATTCTAATCTACATGATATCTGTTTATAATTTGATTATCTTTTGCTTGTTTTAAAAATAGTAGCTTGATTCACTTGGCAAGAGTTATACAACTATTCAAATTGCCTCTCAATAATACCTGTGAAATACTATCAATGTAGGTAAAAAAAATCCTTAAGATATCAAGTATAACATGCAGTTAGCCTAGTAAGAAATGCTATGTATAAAGAAAAGTTTGAAATCACTGTGTAGGTCAAGCTAGGACTCAAACTCGGGATCCTCCTGCCTCAATTTTCCAAGTGCTGGGATTACATGTGTTACGACACCTGGCTGTGAGTTATTTTATACCCTCTTTTAATACTTTCACATTTAATAACTCAAAAGTAATAAAATATATAATGTAGAAACATGTAACAAAGATGTTTCTTCATAAATAGCCTGTTTAGTAACTCAGCCTTATTTATTACCTTATGAGCTCACAACACTACAATGAACTTATATATATATAAGGTCTTTCTTTTTTCTTTTCAAAAGAACCTATTTGATAAAAGTCCAAGCACATGCAGCAAATACAACCCTGAGCATCTACAACTAACTTTTGACATGTCCCTGATAAAACTCTAAGACACTGAGAGTTGGTACAGAACCTAGCACCACATATAACACTACTACCCATATGTACTGCTTTAAAAAGTTCCCTTTAGTTTGTCAGACTACGATGGAATTATTCTATGGAACCAGTGCATTTTTTTGTGAAAAAAATTCCAAATTTCATAGTCAAATAACAAGTTATTATACTGTACATAATCATTACCAAAGTAGTTAACTCAGTGCAAGACATTATTATAAAGTCAAAAAGTGTAGTAGCAATGATACTGTTGCACTATCTTTTGAAAAGAATTTTTTTTCTTTTCAAAGTTTTATTGATAAACATATAGCAATGAGACAGTTTCAAATCAAATCGAAAATACAGTTTCAACAAATAATACACTGCATATATTCTTCTTAGTGGTTAATTGCTGTACAAGATGCAGACTTGTGATCCTACTTACAAACACCATTAGAAAAAATCATTCTATTCATTAAGAGAATGCAACTATATATCTATCCCAACCACTTTGAATACACAGATACAAAATGGACATTCATAGTTATACCCCATTTATTTAAGTTCCCTTGTTGAATATTATAGGTGTGTAAACTCAGCAAAATATTCTAAGAATCCAGTAGCCCATAATATCATTGGGTCGTTTAACTGGCAATGTCAGAAATTATTGACCTGAGTCCCCCACAGCTCAACATAACAACATGGCTTTACTTCCTATATTTCATCTTCATACTTTTCTACTGGATGGTTAAGACCAAGGTAAAGCAGTACCTGTGCAACAAGAGTTGTAGCTTTTTGGTCTGAGAAGGTCAGTGAAATGCCCTCAGGATTTATCCTGAGATCCTGTACCTCAGATTGTAGAACCTTTGTCAGCGTCAGCCATGTGGATGAGTCACGGCCAATGCTTGGCCAATGTGCTCTCTGTGAAAGCCTGAGAGAGTGTCTTCTCCCCATGTGACTCTCCTTAGGCACACTCTACATCATCGATCACTTTCCTCTTTGGCCCCATAATCTTCTTGATCAGAAAATTTGGGACACTACCGAGGTACATGACGTTACAGTACAAGTTCTCATATGTCCTGAGTCTTAATTGACCTTAGAAGGCTGAAAAGAGTTTTAATTATTAAAGTAACTGTGCATTATAAAACAACATTTTTGGTTTTTATGCCAGACATAATGATGACCAAATGCATTACTACCTCTAGGACTATAATAAAAAACTACCATGGTTTTCTCACCTCTTTGAATGAAACAAAAGATTTTCCCTAAGAAATGACAAAATGTTGTTCTACACCAGACTGTGTCATTACTTAGTATACTCACCATTGTGTCTTACAGAAGATCCAACTACATTTACAAAATTTTACTACAGTGCATTACTACATTGCAATGAGTGCCACGTAGGGTTTTCTTCAGAGGTGCCTCTGAGCTTTAATAGGTATGTATGTTTCTTTGTAACGGGTCACAGATTAAAATGGCTAAAACTTTGAAAGGTATAAAGATTTTTCTTTGAAGATTTTTATCTTAAAGTAATAACATGACAGTTTGAAAACACTGGATTTTCATAATTATAGAAGTTACATTTTCACTGTTGAAATGAGGAAATTATAGAAAACTTTTACTTGTATCAAATCACCACATATCTCAGCAGTTTTAAAATGATCTTTTATATTTCAATATTCATTGTTCAGTTTTATTTTTTCAGACAGGGTCTCCTATTGTTTAAGCTCAAACTTGCAGCAATCCTTGCGCTTCAGCCTCCCAAGTGTTGCAATTACAGGTATGAGCCATAATGCCCAGCTTGAAAAATAACACACAGGCACAGACACACAGATAGATAGACAGATGCACACAAATTTAAAGGCTAAAAATGAAACATGATTAAGATACTGTACTGTTGCCATAAGTTTGTTCTGGTTTGTGGACTATAGCTTCAGATTTCAAATGTTTGCCATATAAAGCATCTTTGAATCTTAAAGTGAAAAATATGTAAAAACACTTATTCACTTGAATATTTTTATTTATTTCCTTGATAGCAAATATTAGAATCAAATTAGACAGTAATGTTTGCTATATGATGCTGACCACTGATTTTGTATTTGTGAAACAAATGTATGATATTTATGAAAAATCAAAATTTAAACTTATGGTTATTGAAATTCTACTTAGCAAGTGTGGTATACAATAGGCTATTTTTAAAATATTTTTCTTCATATTCTGGAGGGACTTAAAAGTTTAACATATCAATATTGATGAAAAATACCTGTTCCATGTTATGTCTAAGATGTTTGATATTCAGACAGATAGTGAGGTTAAGCTCAATTGCCTATGTTGTAGGGTAATAATAAGCTTCTCTTCTGGAGGGTTAACAACCTAAGTTTGCAAACCAAAAATTAGAGAAAAAGAGGGGCTGCAAGTACAGCCAACATTTTGGCCCTAGACTTTCATGGTCAGTGAAGACTCAGGACATAGGAGAACCTGTACTATAATATCATGTAACTCACTTGTATCCCAAATTTTTTGACCAAGGAGATTATGGAGCCACAGAGGAATGTGATGGATGATGTAGAGTGTGCCTAAGGAGATGCACATGGAGAGAAAACATTCTCTCAGGCTTTCACAGAGAGCAAATTGGTCAAGCAATGGCCGTGACTCATCTATATGGCTGACACTGACAAAGGATCTACAAACTGTGGTACAGAGTTTCAGGATAAATCCTGAGGGGACTTGACTGACCTTATCAGACACTAAAGTTACATTTCTTGTTATATAGGTCTTGCTTTATCTTGGTCTTAATCATCCAGGAGAAAACTATGAAAACGAAGTATAAAAAGTAAACCCATATTAATATGGTGAGCTGTAAAAGGATCAAGTCAACAACTTCTGACATTGCCAGTCTTACAGAAAAACCAGTACTATTATGGACTACTGGACTATATTGGATTACTTTGCTGAATTCATGCACCTACAATATTTAAATGACAATGGAATATCCTTCTCTGACAAAACTAAACAAAAAAGGGGGATACAAATTAACAACCATTTTGTATCTGTATATTCAAAATAGTTAGGATAGATATACAGCTACTTTCTCTTAATTCAATGAATAGGGAGATTTGTTCTAATAGTGTTTAGACAGGATATCATGTCTGCATCTTGTACAATGAATAACTACTATGAAGACAACAATATACAATGTATTAATTACTAAAACTGCTAGTAATCGGTTTTGAAACTGTCTCATTCCTATTTGTTTCTCAATAAAATTATTTAAAAAAATAAAATAAAACATACATTAAATAAAAAAATAGGCTAAGCCTGTGGTCACAAGAGTTTTAAACTTTAAAAAGCATATTTTAGGAAGATACTAAATAGTTTGATAACTACTCCTATTTTATAAAAGAAAAATTATTTTAAGACTAAAAATG